TCTGAAGTACAAGAAACAGAAAAAAGAAAACTGAATGTTTTGCAAAGTTTATAAAGAGAATCAGAAGAGGCTTGAAAACTGATACAACTTAAGTTTATTGTTTGTGTAAGTTATGAATCTGATTTACAATTAAATTATACAAGGTAAAATTGATTTTTTTATCAACCATCAAAAGAAGTTATTTTCGGGCTTGAGCCCTATCCTTTCAGCAGTTCTTCCTACTATACTACCCTTGGCTTATTTGGCCTAGATGGGTATGTGCTGCTGATTTAGGGTGGTGACCAAGGTGTCTGTTTGGGTTGTGAAGGTTGAAGAAGAAGCGATCTATAGAGTACAGTCTATTGGTACCACCATCCCCCCCCCAAGTTTTGCCATGTTTCTAAGGTTAAAAGCTACCTTAATTCTGTATGTTAAAGGAAATGAATCAGGATTATAAAATAAGGTCTCTTGGCTTAAAAAGGGTAGGGAAATGCACAATGTGTCCTACTACCCATACTCTCTTTCACTGTAAGCCCAGGTTATTGTAACAGCAAAGTCAGTGAAGGTTTATGGTCTCTGAAAAATATTTTTGCCAGCCTCAACACAAGTTTCTAAATGTTATTGTTGACTGCAAATAATATGATCTTAATAATCATTTTACATTTTTTTTCCAAGGCATCCTATGCTGTTTTCAATATCCACTAGTACAAGGCAATTTTTAAGTTGAGAGGGTTTACTTTGATTTCATTAACAGTAAACTACATTTTTACACAGACACAAATTAAACTAACCTGGCAGGTTGATGTCCAAGGGTGTAAAACATTACATGCAACTATATGGCAAAAACTGATCTCAGTGGCCAAAGGAAAGGCAAACATAGAAATGTCACCATTTTTTTAATTTTATAAATTCCCTTTGAAGCATATTTAGCCAGATGTAGTCCTTGTCGAAACATGCAAACTTGAACATTTATTTTCTGACCTTAGCTAATCTTTTTTAAACCATACTCTTGTTCCAGTAGGTAGTGTAGATTTTGGAATAAAATAATTATAATTTCTCCCTCTTTGTTTGCAACAAAACAAAAAACAGTTGAACGAGGACTCAAACTGAAGGCAGTGTAGTAACTGCCGTCATGAAAAGAGAATTCCAAACACACAAAATAATTACCCTCTCATTTGCCTATATTCATTTCTTAGAAACTACGGTAAAGTTTAAATAAAATCACACGAAGATAAGAACTTACGCATATCAAGAGTGAATGATCTCTTGGCAAAATTTATTTAGCTTTTAGTACATAACAAAATACATGAACTACGAGATGTGACCATATGCCACTCAATCATCCCACGCAACTCTGCCAGGATAAGTTCACAATCAAGGATCAAGAATTAAGAATCTTTTCGTCTTAAAGGTGTAATAAAGCCGTAAACAACTCTGGCAACTCTTCTACTTGACCACGGCCACCGCGCTTTTTTTTAATATCACGAAGGATTAATTTTCGGCCTTTCACTTGAAAATATAAACTCTTCTACATACACATTGGAGAGTTGGCCCTTCTTCTAGTCTTGTGGGTCTTCTAAACAGAAACACAGCTTGAAAGCCTGTAGTAAGCCAAAAGGTCAGGCATCGAGGAACATGTACAATGACTGTTCACTGGTCTCGTTCTTAGCGTAGTAAACCGCATGTAATGACAAACGCAAGACCAGAAGAAAGGAAAACGTAAGCTTCACATTACTGCGGAAAAAATCAGTTACAGCAAAGAAAGCAATGGCCAACGGGACCAAAAGCGAATTCACTTCACACTGTCGAATCGCTGCGAAGACGAACTCCTTGGTGTTGTTGTTGTTGTTCCCAGCCCGTTTCGCGCATGCTCGCTACAGTTCTCGAATGATTGACAGATTTCTTAACTGGGGCGATCATGGAAAGCCGAAAAGCGGCAAGATCAAAGGCCGTTGCTAGCCCCCCCTGGTTTCGTTAAACATGTGTCAGTCTTTTCCGATGGGTTACCAAACAGCTACTGCGAATTTTGAGTCGCCTAATTTCTATGGAAACAGGTAAGATGAGACAAGTAAATGCCTGAAATTGCCTTCAGCACTCAATTGCCAAGCTGCCTGCTTAATGCATCCCAGTGTCTACTTTAAAACTTTTAAGTTTTAAAATATTAGAACCCTGTAGTCTGTAATTTATGTCAATAGTAAACACAAAGATGTTTATTTTATCTATACAGTCTACATGTACTATTTTAATGAATTAAAATTCCTAAATTAATATTTTCACAATAAAATAAATTGTTGACTAAACTGTTGTTTGAGCCCACACTGGTATCAAATGACAACTGCTCACTCACAGCAATCTCATAAATTCCCCTCAGAGGAAGACACTATGAATAAAGTTACAATATTGATCCTACTAACTTGAGTGATTAGCATTCAATTCTCCCCATAGTAACACTGCTCACTATCAAACAGGAAGGTTGTGAGAAAAATGGAAAAGATCAAAAAGTGAGAAAGGTCTTGACCAATCACCAAATTCTTTTCATCAGTGCCTTGGGAATCATACATGGCACAGCATGGAGAAAATGCATTGAAATACAGGTTTAAATTATAGGTTAAGAGAATGGTGTCACAGGAACATTCCTTTTTTTGGTACAAAATAATGCAAAATTTCATTCCAATACCATTCTCATGAAAAAAAATCTTTTGAATCACCAAAGAGATAAAATCAGGAGAAATTTGCCACATGTATGCTGTACAACAAGTTTCAGTGTAAATGAGTTTAAGTCTACCTTGCAAAATACAGGCCCTGAAAGGGGAGGGCTCCCTTATGTAAGAAAGGGGGATGCTCACTGAAAACTTAGAAGTTAATGCTCCCTAAAGGAGACCAACCATGGCATAGCTCCAACACAGTATGACAGAATTTTTTTTTTTAACTGGACATTTAAAGGGACTACATGTATGTCATGCTATTTGCTTTTTTAGAAAAGGGCTAAAATGTATCTTTGCATCAATTGAATTCCAAAAATAATGGTCTAGTTTTGTTATTTAGACTATATTTAGGCACTGAAACTGTTTCCTGCCATCCTTTGCAACAAATAGCAGGGATGGACATGGATTGAATTTTGAAGAAGTTGGGGCATCTTTTTAAAGTTTGAATGTTATCCCTGCAAAAATCACCAAAAAACAATTATTATGGTCAGTGCTCCTTGATTATATTTATTTATTTGATATCTGCTCGACAACTCTACAGGAGCATTTTGTGTATGGGTAAAGGTACTTACTAGCAATGACTTCAGCACAGAATTGACCTAAAACAGCTGATTTATTCTAGTCAAAAACACGTAGCCCCTTTCAAGTAATACCTGAATGAGAAAAAAATACTGGTTTTCTGTCCTGAAAACCTTAACTAAGAACAAAATCTGCAATTTTTACCACTAACTAGGACAATGAGCATCCCTGTCATTTTCATGTGGCAGTTTCCCGCCTTCAGGCCCCATGTTTCTATCCCTTTTTATCCACTGCTGAGAGGGCGGGGTTTTCACTAAGAATTCTAGTAGCAGGAGAAAAATGTAATGTTATAGGTGAGTATTTTGAAAGAAGCGTCACGTCCGAATAAAAAATAGTCATGGGCTATTGAAGATTTGTCGGAGAATTCTGGGAATGTAATGGAGAATTCTCTGATCTCTGATGCCTAATGAGCACCCTAGAGAGGGTCATTATATAAAAGGAGAATATTACTTTTGGTCTCAAGCCAGTCAAACTTCCCCTGTAAATGTCCTATGAAGAGAGACAACTTGAAAACAACCTTAAAATTGAGAAGTTTTAAGACTTCATCTTATGACAGTTTCTCTGTACTAGATTACAGTGCAGTTACTTCAAATACACTGTATAAGTTGGCCGTATAAGTTACCCATAACTTCTCTTTTGCCAATGATGAAAAAGGGTTCTTTGGATTTACTAAGTGATAATGCCTTGAGCAGCAGTTTATAGGTGCACAGTTCATCGTAGTGAAAAAACTTTGAGCATACTCAATTGTACATGCAAAATGTATGTTCACCTCCTTTTAGTTTTAAAAATTGTGAACACGCCTGGGCTTCAGAGTGTAGGCTTGTTGGCTAGGTGACCTCTCGCTTTATTATGTTGAACTCTCTTGATGTAGACTTTGAACAGTTGAACTAAGAGTCTCTAAATTCTTCATTAATTTCTCCAGGTTTCCCCCACTTTTGGTGTCTTCTTCCTCACCAAATCCCTCAGTCATATCATCAAGTTCAAAATGCAGCTGAGCCAAACGCTCTTGAAGCTCGCGGACTTTATCCATCTTCTCAATAGTACAGTCTTTTCCAAACGCATGCAGTTTACCTTGGTTAAAATCATGCATAAGGTCAAGCAAACCTTTTTCCATTTGTTTCACGTCTGTTCTATCAGTCAAGAAAGAATGTTCTTGCATCTTGGACGTTGCCTGAACCTGCGATCTCTCGCCTTCCTTTGCGTCCCTTGATTTATTCTTACTGCTGCTTGCGCCTTCCATGTATATAGCCATCGATCGCCTGTATAAACTACACAGATCGGAAAGAAATACATGTACTGCATCTCGTTCGCGTCCTCGAGGACGCCATCTTAAAAATACCCAGAATGCAAAACGAGCCCACTCCTGCTCCGATCAAATTCACGCATGCGCACCGATGTTTCTTCTCTTCCACCAAAATAATCATCTCGCAGGATGAAGTAAGTTTGATGAAAATCTTTTTGCATCCAGGGTATAAACTGCCGATATTTTGCCGTTATTAGCAATGAACGGCCAGTGTGATTATCGTACCTTTATTTAACCTAAATATTTGAAAAGAGGAATGTTAAGCCTTCTCTATATAACTACTTAACGAAAACCCTTTATTTCCGTATGGCGAAAAATTTCTCGATCGTACAATAAATTCTTACATAAAATTACCCAAGAATCTGTTGCATTTTACCACTGACGAACTTAGGTATTCTAAAGCAATTTTTGTTTGTAAAAAACATCGAATTAAAAAACTTACAAGGCAAAACTGTTTTAGGCTCGAGTTGTGTAACTTCAGTGGGTACAAGATCTACCCCGGTCATGGCAAGAGGTACGCTCGGGTGGACGGAAAGGTATGTGCAGTTTTTTTATATTTTTGTGTGAATATTTTCGAAAAGTTCACCTAAGAATTAAGCATGATATCCAGTTTCTGCTTATAAAAACATACAAATATTCCTGTGTTTGTAAAAGTACTGTGAGTGGACTGCCAAAACTCAAAGTAAAATGTAAGGGAGCAACTACAGTCCTACAGAATACACAGCCATATCGTAAGATCTTAAAGTGAAGTGGCTCGGTGGCTGCAAATGAAGATGAGACAGACAAGTGTTTACAGAACTAGAAAGATACAAAAAATAAGTGCGAGACAGACATAAGAAAGACATACAGTACCGCTTAAAAGTAAGTTGACAGGCTAATAAGTTGACAGATTTTAGTCTTGACTTGAAACTCAAATCTTATGTCTCGAAGCTAGAACGAATGGAGTTTCAAGACTAGAGAATCAAGTTTAGAGAAACCAGCATTTTTGAATATTCATAACTTAAAAGCTTTTTGCATTACAGCGGAAATTCGCACCAACCATCAGCACTGCTTATTTCCCTTTTGTAAACAGTCTTGGCCAATTTTAAGAGCCAATACCACCATTGGTAACCAAGCCTTCAGTCATTGTATATGTAATATATTCCCTGGATAAGTTACAAAAAGGCAAATAACATGTTTTTAAATACTGTTAGAAAGAACGACGTTGATGCCCAAGTTGAGTTTTCGTCAAAATTTACGAAAAGGGCTAGGGTCACCTGTTATGATGTAACAGTTAAGAAAGACAGTTTATTAGTGTATGTACTTAAATTTTTTGAAATTTTGGTGGGTTGTTATGGTAGTGTAGTGGTAAGGGAGAGAGATTAGGATATGAAAGGTCCAGGTTTTTTAGGTGTGTTAAAAATGGCAGCAACCAGTCATGAAAGGGGCAACTGCGTAGGTGTTTGTGTAAGTTTTAGACGATTAAAAGGACCAACGAGTGGTTGTTTGTCTTGAATTTCAGATAATCCAGTCTTTGTATTTTTATACGAATTCTATCTTGTGAACTACAAGAGATGTTCAATTTTAAGTGCATATGAAACTTGTAAAAATATTTAAGCTTTTAAAATTTGGTTCATCGTGACAGTGTAGATAAATTGAGAAATACAATGCAGTGATTATATATTCTCATAAAAGGCTTCCATAGAAAAACAAGATAATTGCGCAATATAAGCGCTGCCAAAATTGTTGTACTGTACCTGAAATTGACGTCAGCTGATTTGAAAGATTGCCCGCTTGAATTATGATAGAGGCTGTGAAACTTTCTCAAAAACTTCAACTTTTCGGTGAGCGTTGTTTCAATGAATCCAAACTATACTCCATGTCTTCTAACAAACATTTGAGTATTTTAACTTTGTTTTTGCTTTGTTTACTTTGATCATTACTGAATACAAGCAAATTTCCACTGTCAGTTTGAGACGGAGAATTTTCTTTCAAACTAGATGATTGTGGCATGTTTGTAACCAACCAATGGAAGTGTTTGTTTTCTGTGTTGCACATTACAAGAAGTTTGCAGTTTATCAAAAAGCAAGCATTTTTGTTAGCCATGTTATAAAAGAATTATTGGTTCATGCTTTTAGCTGTGCATTTATAGAGTTATGGATGCACTGGGAAGTTTTAAGAGCACTCAAGAAGTTGGCTACGCCTCAAGCAACTCTAACACTCGTCTTGTGTTCTCCAAACTTCCCGTGTATATACATTGCTAGGATTTCAGAACTAAGTTAAGTGTACAATACGATCTTGTGGAGAAATAAATATCAGCCCTGAGTTGTGTCTGACGCATGGGTCATTTTTAACCAAAAGTTTTCTTTGTTTTTATCCAGGTCTTTAACTTCCTAAACAAGAAATGTGAGAGGGCTCTTCTGATGCACCGGAATCCCCGTAAGATCACATGGACTGTTCTCTATCGACGAAAGCACAAAAAGGGTACTACAGAGGAAGTGACAAAGAAACGAACTAGGCGTAATGTCAAGTTCCAACGTTCAGTTCAGGGTGCAACTCTAGAAAACATCTTGGCTAAGCGAAACCAGAAGCCTGAAGTAAGAAAAGCACAGCGTGAACAAGCTATCAGGTAAATGATTATCTTGCTGTACCCTTGCTCCCAAAGTTTTTAGAGCTCACTGTGTCTTCCCTTTCACTCCTGAAGTGCGTTGTTGTGTGTTCAAGCCTGTGAACAAAATCCTATAATGTAGACTTGCTGCAAGTCGACCTCTCATACATATAAGTTCTTAAAAGTGAGCAAAGTGAGTGACTCGAGGTCAACTTGTTTCACTTGAATGGATTTGAATGGTATTATAAATTCACGCGGGAAAAAATGATTGACATGTTTGCTGTATCTGGAGCGACATGAATATCACTCACTGTCCTGATGTGACGGAAAGAATTTTCAACTGGTGAATTTCATGCCAAACAGGTATGAAAAGTCCTTTAAGAGGACATATAAACCAACCAAAAAAAAGGACTTTTAGAATTTTAAGTCTACCTATAGTGGTGCTATTCCCCAAACACGATAGCACTTTGCACCAATGATATCACCAATTTCTGGTTGCTGCTGTGACTCAGACATTTGCCACTAACTTTAGAAACAATGAGTAAACTCGGCTGAGTTAACTTTCACAAAGACTTCTGGGACAGTTACTAGGGACAGGGCTAAAAAATTGGCCAATACACTGTAGCTAAATGCAGTAGTGTGTCTCCAGTGAGGAGTACCTCCACTTGGCCCAGTTTCCTTTACGTTTCTAAAGTGGTGAATAGACCTTTTTACCGATATGGCAGCCATATTGAATTAATTAGATTTAAGGAGTATTATGGGATGCCCAGCGGGCATGACACTCGCTCAGTATTTACGTGCGCCTTTCGGGGCAATTTTTCTTAAACGTGATGTTTACACTGGACACTAGCCCATGTTCAGTATATTAAAATTCTAACATGACTCCGAGACTTTCTGGTCATTTTTTAATATTTGGTTTGGTTTTCTTTGTGGTCAAGTCTCTTCTGGGATTTGCAAGACAATGGAGTCATGAAAAATTTGCAATTTTGACCCAAGCCTCGTAGTCATGTTAGAATTTTAATAAGATTTATATTGAAAGTGTGCTATTCGCAACGACAATTTTTAGCGCAATACAGCATTGCAACATTGTTGCAATATTGTTGCGCTTAAAATCGTCATTGCGAATTGTCCCATGTAACGTCACCTTAAAGTTTTCCAAGAACAAGATTGTAATCGAAACAACAAAGAAGATCTTTGTGCCCTGTTTGGATGAACACTGTAATAATGCTCGCTGTTTTCCCGAGAAATATTTGGTGAAAGACCAAACCTATTTCTTTGGAAGAAAACCAGAAGTACAAGGAACCAAGGCACTTAGCTACGTGGATGAGACTACTGTGCTGGAAGGGATTTAACGTGAATAAATATACTTAAGTTGGCTCAAATCGTTTTAAATTTGGAAGACCAGTTGACAGTCATCCTCATCCAATGCTCTTTCTGAACGGCTACAATCGGGAAATAGTAACGCATACATGTTAGAGAAAAGCTCCCATGTAAAAGCTTCCAGTACAACCAATTAAGATGAAGAAGTAGAAGTCAGATACTGATTCTAAACAGCGGGTGAAAAGTTAAACAATATTCCTATAGTAGACACGCTGAGGGGAGAGCAAAATAGTATGTGTGAACCCAGTGAAGACCCTGATCGAATACTGGTGGAAAAAGTTGTAAACCGCTTTTGTAGAGATTTTTTCCCTCCTTTGCCGATTTTCTATCGTTATTTTTTGACAGGTAATCTTCTCTGTCAGTCATCATCATATCGGGAAAATTATGACTTTCACTCACCCAGTTTAGCAATTTATCTGAGAAGTCCCCATTACAAGTATCACTGATGATAACAATACCATGATTTTTCAAATATTTTCACAGTTTCTTGACGTTCCATTCGTTTAGCTCCTCAATACAGAACTCTTTTTTTGTTTTTATCTGATCGGTCGGGCCATGACTAAGAAAATAAAAATATACGCTCTCAGATAAACAACCTTGATGCTATGCGTCATGTCATGTGAGGTTTGTTTTGCACCCTGGGCATCCCATAATAATCCTTTAATTCAATATGGCTGCCATATCAGTAAAAAGGTCTATTGAACATGATCCTTATTAGAATTTTGTAAGGAAAAATCTCGTTCACCTGCAACTTGACATTGTCTTTAAAGGTTTTCATCATCAAAAGAACTGAAATCTGGCTTGATTTCAATTATATGTATTCTGCAAGTGATTATTAAACATGTGCCAAGACTATGTTAAACATGGAAATATTTGTACAGTTGGGTGACTAATTTTATCCCTAATGCAGTGTCATTACTGTAGGTAAAATATCTTACAACATTTTATTAAGAAATGTACAGAAAGCAGAGAGGCAAAGCTGTTCATAAAAAGGTGCATTTGGTTAAAATGAAAAGCAAATGATGCTCAATTTTTTACAAGTGCAAAGGCTCACTTACATGTATTATGCTACTATAGGGTATAAAACACTGTATGGCTCCTACCTGGCCACACAGTCAAACATAATAAACTTATACAATTTCTGGTTTGTGCTCATGTTGGTGTGCTTTTGAGCTTAGAAATTCTGCCACAGGCTTGCAAAAAGCACACACAAACTCGATTTCTCTTTAGCATGTTTGGTTTTGGAGTCTTACACAATAAGAAATGTTATGTCATGTTTCGATGTTTCAGTACTATCTGACAGAGCTACGGATATGATTTCAGTAGCCTACTTTGACCAGGTGGTTTTCTTTTCTGATTTTCACCGTTTATAGGCGAATTTTTGTTTACATTTTTTGCTTCATTAACATATGCTTATCATTATCTGCCAAAGCCAATGAAATAAAATCTGAATACTTAGTAAATATCTTTTAAATGATAGTCACATTGAAAGAGCATAAAAGTTTCAATTATCTCTGAAAATTTGAGCCTGATATACCAAATGGTTTTGGAGAAATTCTCTTTTAAAAACTCGAAATTTTACCAAAAATGCATGGCTCATGAACTTTTTTGCCCCTCAGCAATTTCGCAGTTATTGATGGCTAATGCTTCTTTCAACATTGCTTGCAACGAACAGAAAATCACACAAATTACTCAAGGTAATCAGCTCTTTCAACTTTTGAATGTAGTTCATTTATAAAGCCATTGCTTCCATGAGTTAAGTTGTATGCTCATGAGAAAAATCTAAACAATGATGTCAGCAGGGATTCGCTTATTTGAGTCACTTGGACCAGGTTTGCTCCCTACAGCAGAAACGGCTTTTATTTATGAGAATAATGCTAAAAAAATGTTTTAAAAACTTTCATTGCGAATTTTATGTTTGGAGAACAATTATGTCGGAAATGCATGTTGCTCATACAAATCATTTGAGTAGAATGCAAAGTTTGTTTGAGTCATGCAGGGGGTCTTCTGTCACAAAACCGTTTTTAGTAACAGTGCAAAGCACTATTTGTTCAGCAGTACTCACACATGACATTGTTTAAACGTGGAATAACAATAAATGGAATAAACTTTAAAAATCACTTGTTTTGGCTTTTTTTGTACTCCGATATTACAAAAACGGCTTGAAATATAGTACTTTCCTGTATATAAAGTTTAAATGGTCCAGTAGAAGAGACTAGTAGCAAAACGTTTGGGTAGTCTTACATGTATATCGGAATATGATCAATTGAACCACCCAAACTTGCAAGTTTGCAAGTTGGTATTTCATTCATTCCTTGTTAGAAATAAAATTCATTGTTCATGGAGCAAAGATCTCAGTTAATGATGCACAGCAGACTTGATGCTGTTAACCAGTTGCTGCTGAACATTTTTCAGTGATGATGTTTTATACCTACATTGTTTGAGTTTCTGTGAGAAAAACATGCTCTGAGAAAAATGTTCTGCTCTGTTTTAGCTAAAGAACATGTATGGAAAATGTGTCGATCAACAATCAGTTAATTTGATTTGTCTATTCTTTTTTCCCAAAGGGCTGCACGAGAAAAAGCCAAGGCTAAGGAGCAACAAAAGAGGGTTGCTAAGGTAGCCAATTTTTTTTGTTGTTTCTGCGTCCAACTTATCCCTTATTTCTATTTTTTTCTAAAAAATGTTTTCTCTCCTACAGGCACAACAGCAGCAGCCTGTCCGGCAAAAACAGAAGGCAGCCAAACCAGTGCAAACAAAGGCTCCACGTGTTGGAGGAAAACGCTAATAAAATAAGTTCTAAGAAGTGTCCAACATGTAATAAAGCCCATGATTGAAAGTGCCTCGTGCATGAGTTATTTTGTGTATCTTTGGACTGCTTCCTTCCCTTTATACTGCGAACACAGGCAGTCGTCGCTTCCCTCCACCCAACCACCGGAAAAACGTCGTCATTCACAGGCTACTCTCCCTTTCATTCATTACATTGCTGTAATTTATTGCATTGTGTGTATGTTGACTCGGAGTTCTATTGCCCTTCATGTCGCTTCTCCTTAAGTAGACTTTCTCAAAGTCGTTCGCATGGTTTTCTGGTCTGGTGTGGTAGCTTTCGCTCGTTCGCTCGCGCTTCGCGCTCAAAAGCTCAACTTGTGAGCAAGTCTACTCCTTAAGCTGCTACACTTGTGGGGCGGGCTTGGGTATGATTGACACCCACAGACACCAGCAATTTTGTTTTGCAGGGTGTCCGCAAAACACTTTGTTATAATACAGTTTACAAGTGAATGATACAGTTTTTAATAATTCATTGTCAAATGTAGCATGAGAAAACAGCCAACATTTTGCAATGCCAACACTGGTTTCCCTGCGAGGTGACATTTGACTTAGAAACAAGAACTGAAATTATTCCATACTGATGATGTCAAACTTCCAAGCCAGTGTGGGAGCCTGTAACCTGTGTTTAACTTTATAGTAGACATCCATATTATTGTCAAATGAAAGCTGTCAAAACAGGGTATCTGCTGACCAGAGTCACGTGACCATATTGTGGGCTCAGATGCCAACTCATCGAGGTCACGTGTTTTTTGATGTTTTCCGCTGACAAGTTACAACTTTGAATTGATAGCAGGCTCAAGTTTATCTTTTCAGTCATTTGGTTCTCCCCTAAAGTTAAGTATAAACTTGTGGATTACCTTTCAATTTTTCTAAGTCCATTGTCTGAAGTAGAAGTAAAACGCATAAACAAGAGCTTCGCTTTTAGCTCTGGCTAAATCTATATGTTAAGCTTAAAGTCATTTTTAATTTGGAGGGTGGAGGCACATTTGTAATGGTGTAGCGTAATGTGTAGCGTATTTGTGTTGACTTCATAGCTGTTTTTTGGAAGTGTGTGTGTGTGGGGGGGGGGGGCACTAGTCTGGGACCACTACCTCCTCATTATGTAAGTACCAAAGGGGAGGGAAGTCTTATGCACACAGAAAAAATGAACACAAACCTTCATCTGCACGGGTTTTATTACAAATTGCAAAGCGTGCCCCTTAAAAGTACTAGAACAGCAGTTACATTTGATTGTCTTGGGCGACTGACTCTGATTTGTCAAGTCATGGAGTTTGCAGTTAACAATTCAACAGGTGCAACACTCAAGGGGGAAATAACAAAAAGCGTTTATCTCTTTAATTTTTGTCTCGTCTCCTCCCCAAAGGGTCTTTTCGTGAGGAACAATTGTCCAAGCCAATCTACCCAGTTTTTTATGCTTCTGCCTCCAAAGCTACCCTCTATGCTTATTTTTAACCTAAATGCTAATACAAGGGTTGTGTTGCTTCTACAAGCTTCACAGAACTGCTCCCTCCAAAAACCATTTGCCATGATCATGCACTTAGCAGCACCAACCCTATTACAACTAAGTCTATGAGATATCTCCCCGCGCTTTGCATGGGTGCACAGCTCTCATCCGGCTTTACAGTCGTCAGATTTTTCACATCTTTTGCAGATTTTAAACCTCCAACGGCGGTCACTGAGGCTGAAAAGTTAAAAAGGATAGTTAGTCATAGGCTCTGGGCACAAAGGGCAAGAAGGAAATGTCTTTAAGTCTCTTTAGGTTTGTGTGAAGTTTACAGCTTATCATAGCAGGAATTTATGAAAAATAACGAAAATACAGCGCCCAAGCGCTGACTGTAGTTAACGGAGATATATTTGCAAAAGTTAAGCAAAAAAAGTGAAGTGGACAGCTGTGTGGAATTTCTCGGGTCTTTAGGCTCGAGGACGGAAATCCCACGTTGTGCTGTTTGGTTGCGTAAGAAAAGCACAAGGTGTATGTAGTATTCTTTACGCGTATTAGTTTTTAGTCCTACTAACCTGGAAGAGCTGTTCCCCGAATACTTGCTCCTTATGCCAACCAGCTTGTAACCATGTGGCACAACATAGTCCAAAAGCCCACCGAACTTGTTCATATACGGTGTTTTTAGACATTTAACAGGCTCTGCGAACTCACTGGAAATACAACACTTGAAGGAAACCCTAAATAAATGAGAGGAGGATGATTTTAAACAACTAAAAATCAAATGTGTAAGGAAATTTCTTCTATACAATTAAGTCACCCAGTGCTAACTCACAACAGTAATATTTTTTGCCTGCTCAACAGACGTTCTTTGTGTCCCCAATTAGCTTGTATTAACTAAACACATCGACAATTAAATAAAGTTGTTACAGGTTATGTTATGTTCAGATAATAGGGACGAGACAAAAAAAGTGAGCTCAGCCTCGAAATAACGGCACTTGCCATTTTGCCTCAATAAATAAAAAGATTAACATTTAAATTCCAAGAAGGTTTAGCGAAAGTTCGATATTTTTAAATGTTAAAAAAATAAAGCTGTCTGTGATCTCCTCTCCTTTCACACACAAACAAGGCGAAAATTTAATTTTGTAATCACGGCAGTAAGTTCAGCATGAATTTATGATTACACAAAAAAGAACGGCTTTTCCCTGTTCATACTCAAACCTCAGAGTAGCCAAAGAAGTAATCCATTAGTGTAATAATAAGCAGTCCAGTATTCTTTTTCTCTCTCTTCTTTTAAGTTATTTTACTGAGCGCATATCGTTATCCTCAAGAGAATTTAAGCAAATCTTTCTTGCCTGAAAAGACTGCGCTTGCAAAAGAGATCAGTAATTTTTTTTTTGTTGTTTTTGATGGTGGTTATGGTTGTATTATCAAGACACGTGTCATACCTTCGGTCGCTTGAGGATTCATTAAAGAGAGAACGCATGCCAGTGATAGTACCTCTGCGAGGGCAGTTGAACTTCATATCTTGTTTAACAGCTGAATCTGGTTTAGTCCAATGACAGAATTTCTCGTTGTACGTTTCATTCCGGATGCGATGGCATCTGAAGTAGAAGATGCGGTCTTTTTGGCACTTTCTGTAAATACTCAACCACACGTTCATGGAATACCCTGCAAATGAAATGAAGGTTTTCTTTTGAAAATCGTTTTGCCAGGCCATCGCTACCGGTGAATCTCTATTACCAAAGGGTCAGACAAAAAACGGGTGGTGCTTTTGCGGAAAATATATCTAACTTTTGTATATTTTGGCCTTATACGCCAAATGGTTAACCTTTTATAACTTTTTTGAGGGGTAAGACCTGGTGTTCAAAACAAACGATTCATTCTTATTAGCCGTGTTTCACTTCTTTAGTTTTTATATTATTTTGGTAATCAAAAACGATTTTTGGAGGTTTTTTCTCAAAAACAGAACTTTTTAATGCGCCACCAGACAAGGGAGAAATTACAGGATGACAATTTTTTTTGTTAAGGCCGATAGACTGATGAGATTTCTCCACGCGCGTATCCTCGCGCTTTCTTCACGCGTGTCTCCACTCGCGTCTCCATAGAAACTGATCATGATGGCGCCATGCAATTTTTCTAACTTTTGTAAATGCGAGTTAATTCAAATTATTACAAAACTGAAATAGGTAGTCTGAACCACAAAGTAATTGTTTACCATGGCTTGTGTACCACTAAAACGGCCTACCTGTGGGGCATTTAACCCCAAACGACTGTTTCCACTTGTTGTGCCACAGTGGTCTTGATGAATCACAGGGCGGTGGTGGCTTTGTTGGTGGTGATGGTGGTGGCGGCGTTGTTGGAGGTGGCGGCGGTGGAGGTGGTGGCGGTGGCGGAGGTGGTGGCGGCGTTGTTGGAGGTGGCGGCGGCGGAGGTGGTGGCGGAGGTGGTGGCGGTGGCGGTGGTGGTGGCGGTGGTGGTGGCGGTGGTGGAGGTGGTGGCGGTGGCGGCGGCGGTCGCGGTCGCGGTCGCGGTCGTGGCGGAGGTGGTGGCGGTGGAGGTGGTGGTGGCGGTGGCCGTTGGTACCTTCTTCTTCGGCGAAACCATCTTCGTCGTCGTCGTCTCCAAGCATCAGTTTCATGGAACAGCATCACTTCCAGCACCAAGATCAGAAGAAGGAATACAGCCAGTCTCTTTCCTGACATGATGGATAATCTAAAGAAAAAAGTAAAACTGATTTTCTAACTGATGTAGAAATATATTTTGATTTCCAAATAGCTAAAACATAAGTTTTCGAGACCGAGAATCAGTCAGTTAAAACGGGGCTTTTATTTCGGTACGAGAAGGGTATAAAATTTCGCACATTTTTGGAGAATAAAATATTAGCTAGGCTCCGATGAGACAAATGCTTTGCGGCATTTTATGTTGTAAGAGATAATTTAACGTCACTTGTTTTCCACAGGGTGACAAAATCAGTATAGTTTTATTTATTTTATTTTTTAGTCTACTTTCCTTGATAAATTAAAAAAAAAAAAACATCAAGGCCGACTAAACCTCGCCAACGATTTCTCTCATAGATCTCTCCAGAGTCATTGATTATTTTATTATACTTTTGTCCATTATTATTCTTAACCAGTTTCGGTTTTCCAGTACGCAATTTCAATCAACACGATTCACTTAAACCGCAGCAGTTACTAGTTCCTTAAGATCGATGCAAAATAGAGAACAAGTTTCAGAACTGCAATAATTACTAATTAGTACATACCTCAACTGAAAATTCCTTACTGAGTTTGTGAAGTGAGTAAAAGACTGACAAATTTACAAAATTGAACGCTGTCTTATTTCGACCCTGTTTCGTGTCTGTCATGTGAAGATAGGCCCACAACAGAAAAGGGGTGAGTTTAATAAATAACCTTATTCAGTCTAACACTGGATCTAGGTACGTGTTATTCTCAGATCGTTAGCCCGGCAAACATGTCAGAAACAAGTTTCATTTCTATCTTGAATGTTAATAAGTCCTTTTCAATCAAGATAAACGTTTTATTGTGAATTTCGCCATGCATCAGTGAAATCAATATGTCTCGACTGAGAAAATCAATGAAAATCGCTGTGTATATTGAATATATCTAAGTATATTATACAATTGACCTCGTTTGATATTGCAGAATCCATAAAATTGGCAGCAGGGTTAGCTTGCGTCGTGTATAGTATCTCCCCGGCTTATCCACAAACACATAAATTCATCAGTAACAAAACACTGTCAAGTTCGTTGGGTAATTCTATCTTCTATAAAAATGAGCCGCACTAGCCGCAACTACTAGCAAGAGTTTTCATCAATAAAAAGTACGCACTCTTAACCCAGTTCCAAAATTTGCAATAAAGATATATCCTCAATCTGGCATCCATTTCATGACAGAGATTTGAGATAGAGAAATTTACATTGGACAATTTTTCAGCTTTATAGACAGACTTTTCGGTCGCTGTTTGCATGTATTTATTTAACAATGTTTTGATTGCCTGTGTTCAATTGTATCAACAGGATACAGCTATTTTGGGGTTCTCAAGAACGACAGGCTCCGGTGATCGAAGGACGATAGTCGCTTGTACCAGTATTTTTCTTTAACTCTCCAGTTGCCCCGCAGAACTCGCAAGCAAAACGAGGAGAAAAGTCGTCGAGCGCGAATTGAGAGCTGCCCTGTATCTTTGGCAAGTTGCGTTTTACGCTCGGGGCAAAAATGTATCCTGACGTGATCAGGGGCATCAAACGAAAGTTTCTCCTAAATGCATTGAAAACATGTTTTAGACTATCCAAAGTACTTTTAGATCTCTACAAATGTATTGTAAGTGGCGCTAAAAAATTTATATCTGTTCGGTCATCCTAGGAGAACTTGAGTCTTTTCGAAATTACAAGGGCTTCAGTATTATTTTCCCGAAAATTTTAGCTGCAATTTAAAGCTTTATGAAAGTGAGAATTTTTCTGATTCCTCTCTGCATCGTATTTTCGATTCCGAAAATTTTAGGTTTCCTATCTCTACGAAAAACAGCTTAACCTGGGGAGTGAAATGGGAAAAATTCAACTTCAGAAAATCGTAGGGAATTTATTAGATAAGCTTCGAAAATTGTACATGAATGGAACGGTCATCTTCAAATTTTTAGCCTTCCTCCAAGCTATAGAAAATTCTAAGCAATTTTATTTCTCCGAACAGATATTTCACAGAAAACAGCCGTTGGGTGCCCCTGACATGATGGTAAGCTGAAAAAATCACTGATGCGATGTCGGCGATGTGGTAGTGAAGTGTAGAAAAGGCAGTTCTTGACTGTTCGTCTTTTCTCAAATGCACTAGTTAACAGTGTCTAGTATACCCGCTGAAACTGTATTATGAAATGAATGAAAATGTTTCTGTTACTGTTACAGTGTATACTAGTGTACAAATAACGGTCTTTGGAATTGTTTTAGTCTTTCTGTTATCTGTTTTGACAGACAATGGTGGCGAGAGAATTTGAAATGCACTTCTTACCTTATTAAGATTTACAACCACGTGTATAAAATTAGAATGGTTAGTCAGACGGAAAATGATTCTTTCTTTGAAGTCGACCTCCTCTATTCGTGTTATTTTGTTCGTTTTCATATTAGCCTTAAGCAACAAAGAAGTACAGACGATCTATTCTCTAGTATATTCTCCGGCCCATAAATATTGTAACGGTTCCGAGTAATCATTTATTTTACTCAAGAAGTGTACATCAAAAACAAAACAAAAAAGATGTAAAGAATCTTTTCGGTCCAAATTTAAAAGCGAAAACGGTCATGAGTTTTTTTAAGAACAACTGATGAGACATCCCTGAGAAGCCACCGAGTGCTGATCAGCCGGGCAAAAGCCCAAGTAGAAAAAATCGACTAGTAATTTTGCCGTTTCGGCAAGTTTTAAAAAAACGGGTCCCCCACTATTACACCGCAAAGTATATGAATTTTCGTTATATTCCACCATCGAGAATCGCATAAAGGAACGAACACAAAATTTAGGCGCCATCTCATACGAATGCGTTCGGTACGTGGCCAGTTCTCCCCCTTGTGGGAGAAACTCGAGACAGGGCCGGGTCGTCGAAGAGTTGTTTCATCTTTACTATAGTATAGCACTCATGTGTCTTGATATAACTGTTACACAAGATTTTTAGACCCCAAAAATGTGGAAAATTCTCGAGGAATTCCTTTAAGGTTTTTGACTGTGCTTTTTGTTTTCTAATCGAGTTATTATTCTGTTTATGCAAATCAAAGCCAGAACATCATGAACCTATCAGACAGAAATAGGTGCTGGAACATCTTCCGTTGCATAAAATCAATAGGAATGTTTCATATCACAATATTTCATATTGTTTATTGGTCGGGACTTCCTGTTCGTTCGTTCGTTCGTTTGTTGCTGTGGATTTGTGCTTTTTCGTAAATAAAATCAGATCAGGAGAGGACAAAGCCTAAGAGAATTAATCCCCATATAAGCCCAGTATACCATGGCCAATACTATGTATTAGCTTTTTCGTTCCTTCTCAGTATAATGCACACTGCTGCGGATTACGATTCAAGCAGCAAAACAACGACGGCAAACCCACGAGTGCAGTGGCCGGCTCATTTCACGTTAGTGTATCCCTAATGAGACAAAAGGAGGGTTTTTTTTTCTTCGCGAGCGGTATCTGACATAAAGTAAAAGCAGGCCACTGCATTCGGGAGCAAGTTGCACGAGTTTTTTCCTATGCGTTTTTACATACTCATAGAACAAATCAAACTACGTTATATATAGTTAGTAACAAGACATAAATAACTCTCTATGCACAAGATTGACAAACGAGTAACACTAAAATTTCTACAGTAGACAATTATTCAATTATATAAAGACAAAATACAGTGTAAAATAATATATCAGACATCAGAGACTGTGAACTGTGAAGGTAGTGACGGTTAATTTTAGTCCGCGCTTTTTCACATTTGTGAGTAAATGTTAAATAAATACAATTACTGAATCTAAAATGAACAAAAATGAAACACAAAGATGTTCCGTTATGACCAAGAAAAAAATCCATTCACTGTATGTTTATAAACAGATCATGTTAATTAATGGAGAATTTGCTCGCAGGCTAAGAGAGTTGGTAGTGCATATCCTTAGTCACCTAATGAAAATCAGTCTTTGTATAGCGCGGGTGCTATGTTTAGAGTCCGCTTATGATTAACACTTTTGACAAACATAACCTCAAGACCCGTACACCTACTATAAAGTTTAAAATTCATGGTTAGACGGAAAGTGATTTCTCTCTTTGAAATTACGCTTTCTTCATTTTACATATTAGTTTCGACTTTCCACTTTCCGCGTTTTCCGATATACATCTATACAGAGCAAGACAAATCATTCCGATCGCTTTACAGAAGCATGTAAGATGCTTGCAATAAAATACAATTTATTCTCATTACTATTGCTTAATTTCTACAATTTCTTTTTACCATATTTAAAATTTTTTTGCTCAAAATTAGGCTTTCAAATTGAAAAAATATAGGAAGATAAAAAGAAATGCCTGAGGCCTAAATGAACTGGAAGGTTTTCTCGTCAGAATACAGACAATATACGATTTGTAATTTTTTGGCACCACTCACTCAACAAAAAATGCAAGTCACATAGCACAAAAAGTAACGATAAAGAGGAAACAAGTAAAATAAACATCCAAGTGAAGAAGAGCCTAGTGAGAGCAAAAAAAGAATAAATACCTCTGTCAGGTATCAATAATCGTAAAAACGAAAATTTGCATATTCAAATGTATTTAAGAAAAGACACGAACTTGACAAAGAAGCCAGGAGAAATCAAAAGATCAAGGAATCAAGCTGATCCAGTTTATGGATCAGATTGCTTAATTCAGGGGCACCCAACGAGAATATAGTTCAAAACCACTTATACATAGCATTGTTGAACGTATTTTAGTATTTAAACGGTAGATGTAGGCATATTTTTATCCCCTAAAAATTTTTCATCTGCTCGGATTTCCTAGCTGAAAGTCTAGTGATCTGAAAATTATAGGGATCAAAACTTACTTTTTCGAAAATTTCAGCCACTAAAAGGGTTCACACAAATTCTAGGTGACCTTTTTAGTGTAAAAACCCGCTAAAAATGGGCAA